GAATTCCCCGGAATCCGTTCGAGATATCTACGTATCTGATTCTGGCTGTGAAACGAATTACTGCAGATATGTGGTGATAGATATATACAAACAAATATATATATATATATACATACATCTGTATATATGGGTAAATGCAAAAGAATAATGGACAGATCGATATGTAAGCGACAGTCAATGTGTAACAGAATCCCAGGGACAGGGAAATTACTTGGAACTTACTCACAGATGGCAAGAAACATAAATTTACTTGCTGGGAGCATAATAAGGCTATCGAATATGATATCGATTTCCTTGATTTGGACCAGTTAGTTCTTAAAACCCAAAAGAGGAGAGTTTAGAGTAATAAGAAATATGGAAAACTAAAAACGTTTTGATATTTTAAATAAATAGATTTAATCGATTAAAAACTAATAAAATATCGAAAATAATCAATACCATTTTTATTCTATCGATTATATATCGAATTATCTGGGACATATATATTCTTTTTATAAGAAATGTGTCATTTTAGGGCTAACAACGTTACGATATTTGAATTTAATCGAATTAATCGATGAAAAAAAACAAATTAATCAATAAACAGCACTTTTTTGAAATAAGTTGTTCACGAAAAAATGTTTTGAGCTGAAACGTTTGCCTTTTTTTTTTTTTTAAGAAAATTGTCTTTATTTATTTTGCGCCCCTTTATTGACTGTTTTCGCCGGCTTTTTGGCCGTTCGCTCGTGTGAAATGCAGAGTGCGAGTGAGGCACGTAGCACGTAAGCGGAGCAAAAAGCCGATAAACGTTCGTAGCGGCAGATGTGCGGACAAAATATATATAATACATTTCACACAATACAATAACTCAAATACTGAGTGCACCCCCAATGCAAAGTATGCAGAGTTTTCACATCGCACGCCCCGCGCACTCACGCCGATACGATGATAAATGCAGGTCCGGGCCACGATCCGTGCTCCTATGTATCGCAATTATGAAGTGTTATTAATATAATGCTCGACGATCGCCGTTCGCCGCTAGCCACTCGATTGTGCAATCTTGCCCTGCTCCATAATTCATTCACTTGCATTCGCATGCGAACCGATCGAATTTACCTAATCGTATGCAAATGGAACGGGAATCTGAGTCATCGATCGATCAGTCAGTAAGTCACACTTTTTGGGATATTTTGGATATATGTATGTATATTTGTATTCAGCGACGTGACCAATGCAAGTGTAATAAACCCATTGAAAATTGCTTAATAACATTTTGGTTGATTCAAGTCCGAATGGCAATCGGTTGTGTGTAAAAAATAGACACGATAAGCAGCGATTAAATCGATAACATAATAATTAAGGCTATCTTTCGATAGATTCTATATAAATCATGAGTCAATAATAGATCTGATATCGGTATACAACAATATTAAATCAATAAATATGGAATAATCATATAATTGTGATGAGTAGGAGATCGATAACTATGGAGTAGGCTTTAATTAAAATGCTTAGGAGTCAATAGTCAACTACTATCGATAACCATAGAGTAATCGCATTATTGTGATGCGTAAAAATCAATAATAAGACAATATTTAATCGATAACTATTGAGTAATCATATAATTGTGTTTCTCATAAAACTTTATCGTTAAATTAATCGTTAAATTGTTTATCCATCGACTTAGGTAACACTTGTCTTTATATTAACAACATTGTCGCCTTAACAGGGTAATAAAACAAAGCTATTTTGATGGAATATATTCCGATTTAATACCTCCCGATCAATACATTCTTTAGTACTTAGAATGATATTAGCTGATCGATGACAAGAATTTTCTGGCACCTCCATCGCATATTCATGGCATGGGACGGACACCCCAGTGATCTCCACACGATCTCTCCTCTCTCTATATATCTTCATTGATCGTTCGATCGTTGTGCAAGCTTCTGTTCTCTGTTCTCGAACCGATCGAAGCAAAAACTCGCACACTTGAGGGCAATTCACATGCCGGCCACAAATCAGCCGCAAATGACTTTATTTCCAAAGTAGCAAAAAGCACAACTGGGGAATGTCAATGTGGCAAGTGCAGCCAGCTAAAATGTTTCAATTTTTTGTTATTTTTTTTTAGTTTTTTTGTTTTGTCTTAAAAATCCTGCTGGGCGCCGGCCTGCGGCCTGTCAACTTATCGGTTACTTGACAAACGACTCAGTCAGCCGACGCGGCGTATGCGCAATATCAAGTCAGCTGGACAACATATGAGATCCAATCGTTTGATAGAAATTTACGCAATCAATAGTCAACATTTGCGATGGGACACATTGCTGGCAACGATATTAACCACTCAACTTGTAATCTAAGCTATTTAAATTTGACATTTTTTTGATTTTTCCAATCAATATAGAAATGAACTAAGGATATACTATATGTTATAAGTTTAAGTTCTTTTCGTAATAGTTAATGTCAATTAATGGGATTTTAATTTGAATTTAATTTAATAGTCCATTATTTTTAAGACATGATAAAACCAGAGAAGCTTGGTTAATACATTTTTTTGTTTAATTTTTTTAAAAGGGAAAATTTGGTTGAATAAAGAAGAAAGATTCAAAAGCTGGAAAATAAATATTAGCTACCTTTTCAAAAGGTCATAAAATTCATAAAAATTTCTTGAAAGAAATATAAGTAATACTTTAGAAAGATTTTCTTTTACAATTAACCTGTATATATATTTTATTTTATAATTTTTTCACTGCTCCTGAGGCGATTTCAGTGTCTAAAGAGTGTTTTCAAGCTCTCTTAGTTGGCTTTCAGTCGGCATCGGGTCGCCCTGACCCCAAATGTTCTCCATTCTCGGGGAGGCCACGCATGTGCTGTGTGTGTATCGATGCCGCCGTCGATTTGACGTTGACGTCTCCGCCGCATTTGGTCAAAATGAGCGTTTGGCTTCAAGTCCAAGTCGAAGTGGAAGTGGATTTTAGTTTTTAGATTTTTTTTTAAGTTCGAACAACACAAAAGCGAGCCAAATCGCAACGATTTGTGTTTCAGATTCTGTGCGATTTCTGTGCGAGGTGAATGTCAAAAGTGATTTTCGTTGCAGCAGAAACTGGGGGGCAGGAGCCAGAGACACCACATCAAAGGCAGCCAAGCTGGCAAGAGGGGCATTAAAAGCTCTCAAACAAACCCCCTCAAAGCCCCCCCGAAAAAAAATGAAAATAATAAAAATAAAAATATATAAAGAAACATGCGAAAGTCATAAATCATAATTCTTTATTCTGCCTTCGTTTTGTTGTTCGTTTGCCTTTTTAGCTTTCGGGTTTTCGGGTTTTTATGGAAGAGAGAGAGAGAGAGAGGGGGAGCTCTAAAACTTATAGAGCATGTCACGCACACATAACCACAATACACTGGTAAAAACCAAACAAAGAATGAAATTATTATAAAATATAAATAATTAAATATTGATACAAAAAAAAAAACATAAAATATATTTGAAATTTTAAAAGTATTTACTATTATTTATAAAAAAAAATCTCTTAACATTTTCTGCCAGTGTACCAATACCAATATATAATGGCAGTGCAGACACTTCTGGCCATATGATAAATGGTCAAAAGGCAGCGTCTAAAATCGCACACACAAACCCCAAATGAGATGTTTTCTTGTATGTGCTGTGCGTTCTGTTTTTCGGCTTTTGAAGTTTGACAGCCTCAATTTGCATTTTGAGCGAAATTCCCCCCGTTTTCCAGTGGCCAACCACCACATTAAGTTACCTCCCCCTGCCTCCCAAACGACTCCAATCCCTGCCTTCGAAGATATATAGTTCATCTTGAATACTGAGGCTGGAATTCCTCTAAAAAGTTAAGTGTGTAGCAGCAAAAGGGGTTGTAAATTGTATTATTGAATTCAGAAAGAAAGTAGGGTTTAAATTATTTAATTTAAGTAAAGCAGCATTGGCTTTAAAATATTTATAATAATTATAATTACACCCTAAGGCTCTGAAATATTTAGTTTGTTTTTTTTTTGATAGTTATTCTTAGCTTGCTTGTATAACAAAATGTCGCTGAGTTCATGCTTGGGAATTTTAAGGTGTCCTGAATGTATGTTTTTATTTTGAAAAATTTTCTTTTTTAATTTCAGCTTTAACAGCATCTTAGATTATTTTTTAGAGTCTGTTTTTATTTAATTTTTCCTAAAAACACATAATTCCCCTGTTATACTGTTATACAGTTATACTGTTATACTGAAAGCCTTTTTCACTTTAAATTCAGACTTTAACAGCGTCCTAGCTTTTTTTAGAGTCTGTTTTAATTCAATTTCTCTTAAAAACGTATCATTCCTCTGTTATACCGTTATACTGTTATACTAATAACATTTTAGTAAATAATTTTTCTTATGATTTCAATCTTAAATTAGAGATTATAACACCCAAAGTTCCCTTAGCACACATTCCAACCCTATTTTTGTTTTTTAGAGGTTCTCGGGAGTCAAGCGAATTCATGGATGATTGCCTTCAATTGCATTTCAATTCCGTTTCAATTGCCGGCACAGCCACCGTCGCCGTTTTGTGTATGGAATTTCGCTGCAGTTTCTCCTTCTGCTCACCTTCACCTCGCGACGAACCCCTTGGAGGAATGGAATGCCCCCTCCTTTTGATTATTCTGGTTAAATTATTATTATTTTTGTGTATAAAGTGTGCCCGATCTCAATTAAACGATTAATGGCTTAATTGGGTGGCATCTTGTGGCATCTATGAGGGTGTGGGGTGGCAGTGGGTGATGCGTGATCAATCACGATCGTAATAGTGATTTCCAGAGCTCTCTTGATCGCGTGACACGCGCATCGCGGCTTGACGACGACACGCTGACTTACATAAATCAATTTAGCCGAGTTTATTTTATAATTTAATTGCTTTTGTTTACGTTGACATGGCCCGTACGTGACTCTCTCTGTGGATTTTTCTCTTTGATTCTCTACTCACTCACTCACTCACTCTCTCTCTCTGTTTTGTCTCTGTAATTTTGCAGATTCGCTACCGATGTGAAGCGAGTTGCCGGCTGTTCAACGTTCAAAGCAACGCATTCGCTCGGCCCTAGTGCTCCGGGCAACAACACAGACGACACGAGAGAGATCGGTGATCGGATCAGATCAAGGGGAGCACCAGGAAGGAAACGGAAACAGAAACAGAAACGGAAACGGAAACTGAAACTGAACTGATGGATTATCGGCGTTACATCTACAGAAGCAAAAGCAACAACTTTAGAAAGCAGAAAGCAAAAAGAGAAACTCTAGAAGGAAACTTGTGATAAGTGTGCCTCCAGAACCCACGATATATAGATATATCTCCAAGGATATATAGAAAGATAAATGAAGACTTGTTGAGCAGTCCAAAAGCAACCAAAAAAAAACCAACAAGTGCAACGTGTAGGCCTTTAACTGTGATTTAAGCATAAAAAAAAAGAAAGCAAGAAAGAAACAAGAAAGAAACCATATATATAATATATAGAGAGAGATACGTTTAGTTTTTGTTTAATTATTCTTTTTGTCTGCTCGATAACCAATCGATAACCGATCATCGATAGCCATGTTCAACTCAAACATACCGGCAGCCTCGCTGCTTAGCATCGATAGCAGCGGCCTAGGTGGCCTGGGCGCTCACACGCCCAAGACCCCGGAAATCCTCAATTCGCTTATCGCCATGACCAATCCCCTAGATAACTATAGCTTCGGTTCGGCAGCAGCGGTGGCAGCCATCTCTGCCTCGGCAGCTTCATCAGCAGCCTCCTGCAGCAGTGCTGCCTCTACCCCAGTGGTAACAGTGCGTCACTTCAATGGACATCCCAATGGACAGGTTAGTAGACACTCTATGTGTATGCTTGATGTGCGTATACTTAATATTATATTTTTATTTTTATTTTTTATTTTTCTAAAATATATTCTATATATATTTACAGTTACACTCGCAGGACAGCAGTCATTCCAGTTGCTCCGGCTCGCCATTGGATTCGCCAGCAGGCGGCACTGCCACCACGCCCAGCGTTCAACAGGTAATTTTGGAATAATTTATCAGAGTTAATATATAAAATAGGAACCTAAGCTAGTTAAGGTTTTAAGCTACGCTTGCGTATAAATATTTTAGGGCTACATTTATTTAAAGCAATAAATATAAGCCTTGTCAAAGAGGGGTAAACATGTCCCATTTTTAAACAAGTTTAGAAATCTTTCTAAGCTTTCGAAAATTTAAAATGTTTCTATTTTTTCAAAATTTCCCTTAAAAATAAACACCAAATGTAGATATATAAATCAAAAGACAAACGATCCATCAATCAATCAGTAATTGACTTGCAATTAAAGGTCTGAAGAGGCATGACAAAAGGGCTGAACCAAGTCAGTTAGTAGATTTCAGCCGAAAGGCGATAGCGATGATTCCACACAGGAAAGGGAGGCGGTGGCAGAGCCTCCAGTTTATGAGAAAATTTTTGGTTGAAAAAACAAATTGAAAAGTGCAAGCGTCTCCTATAAATTTGTTTGCAAGTAATAATCATAAATCACAAAAGAAGGCAAAGTATCTGCGAGCGTGTGTGGGCACACAGACACCTGCCAATTACTAGCGGGGAAAGTGCAAGTGCATCTATATATGTACATACATCTATCTATGTATCTATCTATTTATCTGAGGGATGCGACCTCTAATTGCCGCCGTGGCAAGTGCAATCCGCGCCCGCTTCATATGCGAGAATTAATCGCTGAAGTTGACACCAGCAGCAGCCAAGCGGCCGCAGCAGTTACGTGCCTCATTAAGGCCAATGTCAGTCAGCCAGTCAGTCAAGAGTGTGATTCTCCCCCTCCCCCGTCAGATACTCACACCCGTGCCAGCGCACAGATACATTTTACACATTTACGGATTCAGATGCAGATGCAGTTGCAGATACTCGAACGCAATGCCGCAAAAAGTGAAATCAATTCACGCTGCGTCTCGCAATTGACGCCCACTCCGCCGCCACCGCCGCAAAAAATCTCAAGACGCCGGCTGGACAGGGGACAAACTTATGGACAGAAAGACTCAAAGACAGACAGACGCCGGCCAATGGCCAATGGAGAGTAAGAAATAAAAAACATAAAACAAAAAAGATGCAGAGTGCGTGGGTCGATTTTGCACGGCATCGTGTGGTCGCGTGGGTGACTCAAACAGTCATCGAATAAATGAATAAGTGAATGAATGAATGAATGGATAAATGAATGAATGAATAGTTAGAATGGTTACAATTCTATACTGGTCATATAGAGGCGCCTAGATTGAAGTGGCCAGCAAGTAAATTTACTTATATTTACTTCATTTATTTCAAAATTAGGAAAATCACTTTAGGTAGTGACAGTTTTTCAATGTTAATTAATAGTTATAAATATCCGACCAGATTAAGCGAAATTGTTGCTCTTAAACTATTAAAAGCAATTTACATTCACATTCAAGAAACTTCGAAATTTTGGGCGCCCTACGGTTCACTTTGAATACTTTTAAGAGCATTTGACTCACTTTACAGCACATTTCGTGCTTTTTACATAACTTTTGATGCTTTTTACAGTTTATTTGTGGGTCTTTCACAGCATTAACATAAAGGCATCATCAACATAAAGGCAAGAATTTCACATTCCTATTCAAAGAAACCCAATTTTGTCGCCCAACAGTTGATTTAGAGTACTTTTTGTGGTTTTTACATAACTTTTGATGCTTTTTACAGTTTATTTGTGGGTTTGATAGAAAATTGTAACCAAAAATTAAGCAATTATTATTAATTAAACACAAGAACAAGCTTACAATAATTGAACAATAATATATAGAGAAATAACTGATTGAAAAATGTAATTGCCAAACGCCACGTTTCAATGTTTTCATCCCAAAATACATTTCGCAGCTCAAAGGTTGGGGTTCGCTTAATTTTTTTTTATTTTTTCGCTTTAATGCCTCTCAATTTACATTTAAGTATGGCATTAAAGTTTCGCTAACAATGTCTCGTTTTCATAAGGCTTTACTCTGCGTACTTTTTCGTTATTTCATTTCGGTTTTTTCCTGTGCATACTAATGAAGTATGAAGTATTTTCGCACAATTAGCAGGAGATTTGTCATTCCGATCGTGACCCCGGGCCAGACCCAAGGGACTTGGACTCATCGAATGTGTGTTTCCTGTGTGTGCGAGGTTTGGTTCCCCAAATATTTGCACAAAAATTGTTGCCGAAAAAAAGAAGGGTAAATGTAAGGCGAGGGAAAATTATAAGAACGGCAAACAGACAAACGAGTGAAATGTGCAAACATAAGGCAAACAAAATGCAAATTTTACCAGAAATGAAATAAAAATAAAAACTGTTGCCATTTCGTTCGAATTTTGCGACTTGAGTTGCAGCGATGCGAAGTGCAAAGAAAGGCTCGGCCTGGCGATACAGATACGGATACTGAGATACTAACAACCAACCTGTGTCGTCTCCTCTGCCTCCCCCCAACGCAATTGCACAATTTTCCAGCAGAAGTTTCCACCAGCAGCAACTTGTCCGCTGACCATATGGTCATGTGCTCCATGTTTTTTGGCTCCAATTTGGCCAGCGCATGCGATTATTATGATTTTGCTTTTCGGATTTCGGCATTTTTTTTTTTTTTTTTTTTTTTGGTCGCTTTTTTTTTTTAAACAAAAAATTTATTTATCTGATTTCTGGGTCAATAAATAAAACGCTGCAAGCAGCAGCGGCAGCGTGCCTAAAATTCAAATGAAGCCCGCAAAGCGAGGCGATGCCCAAAAAATTAACAGAAGTCGAAAGAAATCGAGACAGGGACTGGGGCATCCGAACAATTTCTCGACCAGACAACACAAACAACATGAGCAAAAAAAAAATAACAAGGGAATATCCAACAGTCTGGCCGACAATTCAATGAGCTGCGGATTGAAAGGGCTAATTGAAGGCACAAGTTTGACAGGCATTCCCCCTGATGGATGCCATATTGCGAGATGATTTATTGTGGGATATTAACTTTCAAGTCAACCCACAGATTATATTTCTAAAATATACGAGACAAGGGATGAGTCGTACCATATATTAAATAAAATATATCAAATAGGTCAAGTTAGGGCATCTTTTTAACCCATATAACCGAATGCTGGCGCTGGAGTTGTCAATCAGCGATTGTTCAACGAAAGTTGACAACGTGCCGAATGCAACGATGACCATCTGTTCCCTGTCCTGATCTCCAAAAATGGAGCGACGAGTGCCTCTCGAAATTGTTTCGAGGTTGCACTTTCCGCAGGGAGAGTGGGAGAGTCACCTCTGGGCGTGTCCCTCGCAGATTTCTATCTGTAGTATTTATAATTCATGCAAACTCGAGTATGTGTGTGTCCCCAAACCCGAAACCCCAACCGAAACCCAAAACTTGAGCCCCATTCCAGAGCCAAGCCCTAAGTCAAAGCGCAAAAAAAAAAAGAAAAAGAAACTAAAAAAAGGTCGCTGGAGTAAATCACAAACAAACAAAGCTGAAAATGCCGCTGCTGCTGTGGTGGGGAGAGATAATCTCCTCTCGGAATCGAAAAAGCGGGGCCGCGATTCGTCATATCTACCTGCCCTGAAGGGCGTCCAACTCTCGAGAAACTGTGTCGAGCTCTCACTTCTCACGCATCACTCATCGTCACTCCAACAGTCCTTGAAGTAGAGGGGAGGCAGATCCACCAGGTGATAGGAAATAGGATCAATGGGTTATGAGATAATACTTTGGAAGAGTCTAAAGGCGGAAAGCTGGAAAAACAAATAAGGAAATGTTGTTCTAAGATTAATATACTTTGGGGAGAAATGTTGTGGTTAAATCCTTCCTAAAAGGGACAGAAAATTTGAATATCTTAATAATTTATCGATATCTAAACTAATAAATCGATACTTACAATTTGCGATACACAAATGTGCAATAAATCGATACTTTTTTGATATAATAAAGCCCAAACTTTGGTTTAAATAAATTTGGTTAAATTATTTAAGATGTTATGAAATTTCAATCCTAACTAGAAACTACGGAAAATTTTAATGTTAACAATTTATCGATATTAGCGATATTTGCGAAATGAACAATACATCGATATTTTCTTCGATATAATGAAGTGTAGAAAAGCCTACAATTAGTTTTAAATATATTCATTTAAATTCTACAATATCTTTTGAAATTTACATCATTAAATCGATATTTTTACGGTAAAAGCGATATTTTTCGATATATCAAATTTTTCTACATTTTCCATAAGACAATTCTCCTCGATATACAACCCCCAAATCCAAACTCTAACCAAAGAAACTATCGATCAAGTGAGCTCGAATTCTGTTTGAAATGTCACCAAGCCAGTGGACTTGAACAACCTGGGGCTGCCTTCTTTGGCAGTCAACCGCTTTGGCCAATGGTGACAAACCACTTTTCGGGGGCCACTAGCCAAGAGGGTTTAGTATATAAAAAAGAACAAACAATTTAGAAGAAAATATTTTAAAAAAATATTTAAAAATCATGAAAAACCCACTCTAACCCCTGGCTTCCACCTTAATTTCCCTCTTTTCCTGTACTATTTTACAGACCTGCTCTCGCTTGATCAAGGAGGGCCTGAAGCTCTCCATCCAGAGCAAACGCAAGCTCTCCACCTGCGACTCCAGCTCCGGTTCAGAGCAGCCGCACTCCAAGTGCTCGCGACGCAGCAGCAACCACAACGGGCACAGCGGCGGCAGTAGCAATCATTACAGCGGCAACATGAGCAATGCCAACGACGACGACCTGGAGGAGACCAGTGATGAGGACAGCGAGACCAAGTCGCAGCCCAAGGGTCTAACGCCCGAGGATGAAGATCGCCGGAGACGGCGTCGCGAGCGCAACAAGATTGCGGCCACCAAGTGCCGGATGAAGAAGCGCGAACGTACACAGAATTTGATCAAGGAATCCGAAGTTTTGGATACCCAAAATGTGGAGCTAAGGAATCAAGTGCGCCTGCTAGAAACGGAACGTCGCAAGCTAATGGATATGCTGCAATCTCATGGATGCCTGCGCGCCGGCGGCTGTCAGCTGCCCACGCATCTCACGCAGTCACCGGCCCACAAGTATCTCGCCGAACTGGACTTGGATGATGCGGTGGTTTCCAGTGGAGGAGCCAACAACAACAATAACAACAGCAGTAGTGGCAGCAACACCAGCAATCAGCAGCGAGTTCAAAGCATACCATCAATGGCCACCTTCAAGTTTGGCTCCAAAACGGCAGCGGCGATGGCCCAACAACTGCCCACTGGCTATTGCAAGCCCTCGCCCAGTGCCCAGGAGTTTGAGCATGCAGGCTACCAGCAGCATCATCAACAGCAGCATCAGCAGCAGCACAATCAGCAACACTCTTTGAATCCCGCCAGCAGCAACATTGATCAGCAGCACCAGCCAAATCCCAGTCCCGGCCTCCTCTCCGACTATGTGCCCAATTGCGATGGCCTGAGCAGCAACAACAACAATCCGAGCAACAACACTAGCACCAGCAGCAGCAGCAACAGCAGCAGCAATACCAGCAGCAACACCAGCAGCAACACTACGTCCACCAGCGCCATTGAGTTTGTGAAAAACGAACTGGTGGATTCGCAGAGTCCCTACACCACCGCCCTGAGTGCCGAGCGGTTCCTCTTCGAGCCAAGTGATGGCTTTCCGGATATTAAGCATGCAGTCAGTGTTTTGCCTTCGCCGTGCGGCATCAATGGCCTTAACATGGCCAGTGTGGTGCCCACGAATGTGGGCTCTAATGGCGGCAATCATAATGGCAGCAATGGCAGCGGCAACACCAACACCACCAACAGCAATAACAATAATAACAATCATCTGATGGACTTCCATCAGGGACTGCAGCATGGCAATGGTATTGGTATTGGCATTGGTAATGTGGGTGTTGGTGTGGGTGTAGGCATGACATCCTGTTACGATGAGGATCATCAGCTGATGCTCATGAAGAGCGGTTGCTATGCATCGGATCTGCTGTCGCAGCTGGTGGACGATGGCGTTGCTGGGGAGTATGTCGACTTGGACACAGCCACCGCGTTCATGACCAACGGGGGTTGCCTGGCGTGAGGAAGGGCGCCGGACAGGGAGCGGGATCGAGAAAGGGAACGGGAAGGGGAACGTGAACGGGAACGTGAACGTGAACGAGATCGAGACCGTGACCTGATGCTACCCGCCTTCGAGCAGTCCACCGGCCATCATCAGCAAGCCCAACACCAGCATCATCATCATCAGCAGCAGCAGCAGCAATCACAGAAACCGCAGCAGGTGACTCATCAACCGGATCGATATCAGGGTCAGGCACAACACTCCAGCCCACAGTTGGACCAGCAACAGGTGGAGCTGGAGCTGGAAATGGAGCTGCAGCTGGGCGAGGAGCAGGATCCGGCCTGGGCCCATGTTGACTATTGGTGCTAAGGCCCACAACCTTATCATTATCCAAAAAACAAACAAAAACGAAAAAAAAACAACAATCTAATCTTAAAATTAACCGCCACTCATCGACTAAGCAAAAAGCAAAAGCAGGAAAGCAGAAGATCCCTCCAAGTCCCCTCCCAAGAAGTTCCCAACCCTCCAGATAATAATTTCTTCCAAAATCATTTCAAGTTCTATAAAACTTTTTATAAAGTTTAGCACATTTGCGACAATCTTGGATATTTTAGAATATATATTTTTTTTAATTTTTGTTACAATTTAACTTTTCAATTTAAATTCCTTACAAATCCAAGTTCTTCCAATAGCTGAGTTTCCCCCCAGATCCCAAGACCACTCGAATATCATCCGCCGAACCCAAAACCCCATCCCCTATATGTATGTATATTCCTCCCTGATCCCAAGTCCGCCTGGAGCGGCATCCAGCCTGTGGCTTGACTACCTCATGAAGCAAGAAGCAGTAACAATTAACAAGTAACTATCATTAAAAAGTTTTAACGTTTAAAAAGAGAAGAGTAAGACGAGGAGAGCACACAAAAAATAAGAAAAGAAAAGAAGTAGCACTTGCACAACTGTACATAACCCAACTTTTTGATACGATATCATTTATCGATAACATTCCATTGCAAGCCTGCATCGAGAAAGAGAAGAGAGAGGGAGAGAGAGCGCAGTGATCAACTGCGTGCAGTCACATCCGCATCAGTAATTATTAATTTTAATTTGTTCAATTATTCTTTTCTATGCGTAACGTATTTTTGTTTGCTCTTTGCTCCACCCAACGAAGCCTTAAAAATAATGATAACTACTACTATATATGCTTATGTGTGTAAAAAACAAAAAAAAAAAAACAAGAGAGAGATTAGAGAGAGAGGAGTATTTCAAGTTGATATATGCGATATATGATGACGTTTGATATTTTTTCTCTAAATCCTAGGCTTAGTCAGTGATAAACCCGTATATATATACCATATATACCTTATATATAAACAATACATGTATGAATTTTTTGTTTTTTTTTTTCGTGTCCATAATTTGTAAGCTATGTTTAAATGATAAGCGAAAAAAAAATGTGTGAGCTGTTGCCTTAATCAAAAAATGAGAAAAAAAAAAAAACAAATTTCAATTGACAACTAAAACTAAATTACTAATCTACACTTTGTTAATTCTTTTGCAAACAAAAAACTAATCTACATATACAAGAACAACAAATAATTAAACAATCTATATATATACAAGATGGGAAAAGAGAGAAGATATATTATATATATATATGTATTTTCGGTGGAATCGAAGACCTTAAAGTGCTGCTAAAAAATTGAAACTTTGCAACTCCTTTCAACTTGCGCCTTATTATAGTTAAAAAACAGAAAGCAAATAAAATGAACAACTTTTGTAATTTATATTATATATGTATACAAGTCGAAGATTATATATATACTAAAAAGCAAAACTTATATATATATTTGTGTGTGTCTATTGCTTGATCAACGAGTTGAAGCAGAGTTCATTAATATATATAAAAACATACTTATACACGGATATAACAATTATATATATACAAAAAAAAAACATGTGTGTGTATAAACAGCTGTGAACACCAAAAAGTGGCCTAAAAGATCATCCCCCAAAAAACAAAAGAAATTCCCCTCACAACAAGTGCTTTGAAAATTGTTTGTAAAAATTGTAATGGTAATTGCCTCGATTTGTACTAAAGAGTTAACCAACGATAACGATAAATGATAATCGATAAATTATATCTATGTTAAATACGCAAAAACAAAAGAAAACCAACTATTTGTAACATATAACTAAACCCGAAAACAGCTCTTGAAACCAACCCCCCCTCCCCTGAGCACCGCCTTTTTCTAGATGTACCAAGTCTACCATAATGTATCCCCCCCACCCACACACCCACGAAAATGCCTGCCTATTTGCCCCTGAATAGGAATGTTAAGCATACAAGAAAACTCTGTGCAAAGTGCATATTTCTTTCCACTTGAGATGGAAATCTTTGAAAATTAAAATTGTATTTGAGCCTTAAGCATTAAGCAAAAGTTTACCTCACACACTCGCACACACACACACAACCCTGGAGAATTTTAGAGCAGAATGACTTCCATTCGCCGACAATTGATATTACGTTCAGCTTCCAAATACAGAAAAAACTTACAAAAATCACGAAAAAGAAAAACTTAATCAAGTTTCAACCACTCAGGTCAGGCGAGTGAAGAAAGCTGCGCCCAGGGTTGCCACCACATTCGATGTTAAATGTAATTCGTAACTGTAAATGTTAACTGTAAACCGTAAACTGTAAAAAATGGCAAAATGCAATCAACTCCATATGTTAACATGCAAAAGGAAAAAAAAAGAAACGAAGAAAAGCAAAGTACTCTCGCTTGTACATTTTTTGTTTAATATTTGTAATCGATAATTTCGCGATTTGTTTTGTTTGTTTTCGATTAATATTCTCTAATATATATATATATATACCTATATAAATATGGCCTAAAAAAACACACAAAAGAGTCGAGTTTGAGTTTCAAGTTTTTGGGATTTCGTGGGCTTCTTCGCTTCTGGCTGCAGCTGTGCTGAAAGGCGAAGTTATTATATTATTAATAGAGCATCGTAGAAGTAGAACGTCATTGGAAACTCCATCTATCCATCCATAACCATCCATTTGATCAAACCATTTCGCTGTCATCCTTGCAGGACTCATGGCGCATCAGCATTTTCCCTCCTTCCCCACATTCTGGACGATACATTTTTGACTTTGGAACGACAGGACCTCCTACTGACCCTCATCTTTAGCTTTTAGTTTTAGGCTACAACATACAACACAAAGTTTGTTTCAACTTGAACAGAAATGCGCTACAAAAGTACCTGGACAACGTAATGTAACGATTAACGATTAACGATCAACCGATAAATACCGATAGATCAGGGTTGCACAGAAAGAAACGATCACTCAGCTGCAGGCAGAAGGAGAAACTGACCGCAAAATCACAAAATCACCTTTCGAGAGGCCCTTTAATTTGTATAGTTATATAGAGCCCTATTATATATCCATGTATATTGCTAAATTAAATTAAAAGCTATCGATAAAGTTAAAGATCTATATGTGTGTGTATGTCCACGACCGCAAGAGCAAGCAGCAAACGAAACAAAACAAAGAAAACTCCCACAAACTGTGCTAAAAAAAAAACAATTGTAAAAAATATTAAGAAATGTGTCGAATGTGTTGAGAGAGAGCGCACGAGTCCCAGATGTTATTTGTGTAATTTTGACCAGAGCAAAACTATACGGTAAATAGATCTAGCCGACTTGAAAGCCAAAAGCAAGCAAAAGGAACAACAAACAGCAAAAACCAAGTCCAATCCAATCTATGTCCAATTGTTAGTCGATATATATTGTTAACTCCACTCATAATCCCGCGACCCATCATCCCCTTATCCAGTAGCCGCCGTATCTTGTATCCGTATCTCTAACGCTCGCTGTATCCGCCATCCGTATCTCTAACTGTCTCTGTAAACCATCTCCGATCCGACTACAACCGATCACACTCTAAAAGAACTACAATAAAATTAAAGTTTAATATCCAAATATGCCCTTTGAGTTTGCTTTGGATATGCATCAGCCTGATTGATCTAGCAATCAGATCTCGGATCTTGGACATCATACGACGGGCCCCGCAAGGCAAATACATAGCTGAATCAACAACCTGACCTGCCTTTACTGCTACCCTTAAATTATTAAAAAGTAGGGTATATGGGTGTATGGAAGTTGTCTGTTGACTTGCTGGTGAAATTACGCTGTCTTGACAAGTGTACCATTTTGTTTTTTAAAAAAATGAATGAAAATTTTTGGAAAATGCAAGGGTATACCACAAACTCGTTATTAAGTCAAGGTATCCCAAGCTCTTTATATTGTCTGCAAACCATTGTTATTACAGGGTGTCCCAAACGTCGTATCGTGAAACTCTGTTGACTCAATTGTAAGCTTGTGCGCTTTTGCTCTTGGCGCGTGTCTCCGCGTGGGCGTGGGACAATCTGTTCTACCGAACCGAACCAATCCGATCCTAACCACACTCCACTCCCCGTCCAATTTCCAGATCCGATCTGCATCGCTGACGGGCTTTGGCTATAAACAGGCGGTGACATCATGTCGCTGCTGTGTGTCTTGCAAGCGGGATTCCGTCTCCGTCGTGTCGCCAACTATTTGTGGATAGAAGCCAAGCTGAGAGGGAGATAGTAGCGCAGCTCTAGCTCTCCGCTAATATGCATAAGTTGAAGGCTCGCTTTCGACGCTTCAAGCTTCAAGCCGGGCCGGGTCGGACTGGGCTGGGGTGATTAATGCTGCCCCCGGCCGTGATTAATGCCTAATTGCTTATTGAATGTCATAACAGTAATAAAAGAACGAAAAACACCGCACCAAAAATCCTTCTCGGTGCAGTGTATGTGTCATAGATTGGGTCACCGTGTCGCCACGGGACGGATGAGGAGTCACATGCACTGGACACACGATGTGGGTGCAATCACCGGAGATGGTGATGATGATGATGATGATTCCTCGAGAGACAAGCCCCCGGGCGAGATGACACCCCGGTACTGTATTATTATTATGGCTTACACAGATTTTCTAGGACATTTTGATAGTTAAATTCAAGATTTTCAGCATTAGCTTGGTAGATCTGTATAAAGTAAATACTCTGATATAGTTTAATGATCATTTCAACATGGTATGGTATGGTGCAGCTCTTCAATATTTTGTATAGAATGTGTGGATCCCCGTTAGGGATTCTTTATATAAATAAAATTTTGCAGAAATTTTGTTTCCATATGGAAATCAAAATAGAGGCAGTCAACAGAGCCTGTGCTTTGATAAATTATGGCACTTAATCGCATAAAATATCGGTCATAAATAATCAACAGAAAGCATTATCATTGAGGTAACTATTAGCAATCACACACAGGTGTAGTATTTGTACCTGTATTTGTATTTAGATAGAGTCTTACATGTGTTGCAGCATGGTTATATTTATAGTCGTGCGTTAAGTGAAAAATTATGCCACCGAAAAGCAGGCACAGGCACTGGCATTGGCACAAGCACCTAGGCACAAGTGCGATTGTGATAAATGGGAAATGTCTTCGGGCAAAGGCTCTGAGATTAGCAATTTCAATCGCTCAACCGACCACCAAGTGCCGCCGACTCGCTGTCTGCCAAGGTCCCCACAGATCATTGGGGGAAAAAGTCCCATGACTCAGTGGCTTAGAAGGTCAGGGAGCGGGATTCAATGCGAAGGAGGACGGGCGTGGCCTGGTCAAGAACGGACTGCACACAGCGGTCAGGTCGAGTGCAGCTCGCCACCAAAGCATTGTCAACTTAATTAGCTGGGTGCGGTGCCAAATTGGTAAGTTTTGCAGTTAAAAAATTATATTTTAAGTCTAGATCTATTAGCAATAATATCCATAGTTTAATATAAAATTGATGTTAGTTGAAATTATTTATAAAAAAATAGTTCGCCCTGGTCTATGTGAGAATTTCCAACTAAATTGGTGTTACAGATGTAAGGATATTGCGAAAAATTGTGTCGATTAGAAAGAATACAAGACTTTTTGTAATAGTATAGTAATTGTGTGTGTTTTAGTTAATTTAAAATATATTGCAGATTATCTTATTTTAAATCCCATTCTGATTATAAATTTATAAAGAATTTTCTTTGCAATGCAGTAAATTTTGGGATGAATATTTTTAACCCAAGCTAATCACAAGCTAATTTTCTACCCCCAAGGTCGTTTACGCATTAATCCGCCTTCTCTTGGGCGCTTGATTTATGTGTCTGCTTTTGACGCACACACAACCCACAAATATATGCTAAAGGCAGCAGAAACCATTAAGATCTGCAACAATAAAGTCAGGTGCAGCATGCATTGTGATAAATTGCACATAAAAAAAATATATACACAAATTCTAAAACATTTAAATTCTTCAAATTATAAGAAATAAGTAATATATACAGTGAGCAAAACAAAGGTTCAGTATTTCAACTGTTTTGCCCACTGTACATACTCCGCAGGATCAGTTATAGCTGTCTCTTTCACTCCTTTACAATAAAGGAGAGAAGCGATAAAAAGAAATCTAAGAAAAAGAGTTGTCCCGTTAGCACGGTAACACAACATCTAGCTGACTCCCTCACTCCTACAGTAGAAAGAAGAGACACAACAAAGAGAGAACAAGGAGTCCCGTTGGGACTGAGAAGTCTCAAATTTGTTTGCAATTAGCCGTGTTGCCTGAGGCCGCCATGCAATAACCGCCCACACAATGGCGTTATTAATTGCAATTTGCGATCTTAACTCGGCTCAAATCCCCTCGAAATTCGCATTCAAATCGAAATTTAAGCGGTCGCCATCTTGCCAAAGGGAGGGGGAGGTACAAAAACAACAAGATTTAGCATCTACAGCAAATTAATAGCGCACATGACTAATTGGCAATCAATCAAGCTTTGATGTTTCTTCGCGCATTACTAAGCGAGTGCAGCAATGGATTTGCATATAGCTCGGTTATTACTCACCGGATTTCCAGAATCACAGCTTGTTCTCCAATTTTACACTTTTTTTTTCACCGGCAACAAGTTTTGCTTATTCACCACGAACTTTCGCGCCATTACTGAGCACGGGCTTTTTTAGTACCAAACAGAAGGCGTTATTGAGCTACCATATGGTATTGTCATCGGGTAAATACAATTTTATCGATTATTCTTATTTATTAAACTATATTGGAGGTTTTTTGCTTCCTCTTTAATAGATCTTTTTGATTTATATTATAAAATAAATTGATCATGTCAAACTAAATAACTAAACTTCTTAAGAGTTTTATTTTGTAGATTAGTTTAATAAATTTTGAGGTTTAGCCATTTTCGGAACCATCAAAGTGTCATCGATATGCGATATTTTCATCGGAAACGCGTTTGAGAATTATCGCTGGCAACCTGTTGTTGTTGCTCCTCCGCTGCTTGGCGCGTCGTTTTGTTTCCCCGCTTTTTCGTGCCCCCCAGGATCCCGGGAAATGTAAATTTTTGTGGCAGAAAATGGCACAATACACGCCCCGCCAGGCGTTGGCCACGCCTGATGCCCAGGAATTTGGTTTCCCGCACGTCCCGTACAAAATCCAGGAGCAGCTGATGCAGGAACTCTTTCGGGTGCTGGAAAACGGCCAGGTGGGTATATTCGAGAGTCCCACAGGCACCGGCAAGTCCCTGACCCTCACCTGCGGTGCCCTCACCTGGCTGGAGCGGCACGAGGCGCTGGTGAAGTCCGAAATGCTGGCGAGGATCGTGGCCGTTGAGAGGGAGCTGGAAATGTTGCAGAAGGAAGGCGAGCGGGCCACGGACTGGCTGGAGGCTCAGGGCAAATCCCGACTGCAGCGGGAGGAGCTGCACCAATTGCAACACCTCCGGGGACTGCTCGAGCAGCGGGAACAGCAGCTGGCGGAGATGCGAGAGCGTGTGAAGAGCAGGAAAAAGCAGAGGAGCAGAGACTGCAGGCCCAAGCTAGAGGAAGCCAAGGAGGAGAAGCCCGCCTCCGATTCCGACACGGACGAGGAGCATGAAACCGCCGACAGCTTGGAGGAACCCTCAGAGGAACGCTATCGTCCTGTCCAGATCTTCTTCTGCAGTCGCACGCACTCGCAGCTGGCGCAAATCGTCTCGGAGCTGCGCAAGACCCCGCACGGCAAGTGGGTGAGGTGCATCTCCCTGGGCTCCCGCCAGCAGCTGTGCGGCAATCCCCAGGTGCGAAGCCTCAAACAGGTGGGACTGATGAACGAGCGCTGCCTGGAGATGGCCAGTCAGAAGAAGTCTCAACCAAATCCCAGCAAGAGAAGCCGTCTGACTGAAGGAGTAGCATCTAGCCAAGGCAGATGTCCCTTGAAAACCCAGTCCCTGGTGGACTCCCTCAAGGACTTGGCTCTAAGTGAGCCCCTGGACATAGAGGAGTTGGCCACAGAGGGTTTGGCCTGTGGGGCCTGCTCTTACTATGCCTCCCGGGCTGCTCTGGACCAGGCCCAGCTCATACTGCTGCCATATCAGCTAATGCTGCAGAAATCTGCCCGCCAGCAGCTGGGCATTAATCTCCAGGGCAGCGTCCTGGTTGTGGACGAGGCACACAATCTGCTGGACACTTTGGCCCAGCTACATGGCGCTGAGATTAAACGCCAGCAGCTGGAAAGAGCAAGAACCGAGATTTTGGGCTACAAGGAGCACTTCCAAAAGCGTTTTAGCACCAGGAATCTTCTCAAGATCAACCAGCTGATCTTTATAGTCAAGCGACTGCTTAAAATCTTGGAGTTATCGAAATCTTCGAGGATGCTGCGCACTTACGAGCTGACCGCCGAGGGTGACTTCTTCAACATTGATCTTCACGAGCTGCTGGAGTTCTGTGCTCGCACTCGTTTCGCACGCAAGGTACAGGGCCATGCGGCTAGGATGCAAAGGGAGCCGCAGCCCAGTGAGAATCAGCCGCCAACGGCAAGGAGTTTAATACTCCAAAGATTAAGCAAGGAGCAGGAGGAGAAGGAGAAGCCCAGGCAGGGCAAAAGGAAGCTGGAGGAAATGCAAGAAGCATCAGCAGCAGCGGAGGAGAAGGAGGCTCAAGGGAAGCCCCAAGGGAAGCTTCTTCCGGAAGCAACTCCTTCGCCCATCAGACCTTTGCTGGCCTTTCTGGAGACCCTCACCAGCGATGCCGCAGATGGCAGGATATTGCTGGATCCTCAGTCAGAAAGCCTCAAGTATCTGCTCCTAGATCCTGCCGAGCAATTTTCAGAGATCCTCCAACAAGCCAGAGCGGTGGGTTTGGCTTTATTTTATATTAAAAATTGTAAATTTAATATTTAATAATTTCTTTAAAGATTGTAATTGCTGGTGGCACCATGCAGCCCACTCAGGAGCTCAAAGAGCAGCTGTTTGCCTCTTGCCAGGATCGTCTAATAGAGCGTTTCTACAGCCATGTGGTGCCCCAAGATGCAGTGCTGCCCTTTGTGATACCCAATGGCCCCAAAGGTGCTCCGCTGCGCTTTAACTTTGCCCAGCGTGGAAATCCAGAGATGGTAAGCTTTGCCATCATCCTTTCCGCTTTATATTCATCTTCCACCGATCTTTTACAGCTTCAGGAGCTCTCCATGCTCCTCCAGAATCTCTGCCAGGTTATACCAGGAGGTGTGGTTTGCTTTCTGCCCTCCTATGACTATCTGGACAAGATCTTTAAGCATCTAATGGAGTCGGGCAGCTTGGAGAGGATTTCACGCAAAAAGTGTGTCTTTCGGGAGGTGGCCGGTTTGGCGGCGGATCAGCTCCTGGAGAAGTATGGCAAGGCAATCAAGGAATCAGCGGGAGCTCTTCTCCTCAGTGTCGTTGGCGGCAAGCTCTCCGAGGGCCTGAACTTTGCCGATGACCTGGGACGAGCCGTTCTGGTCGTGGGCCTGCCCTATCCCAATCGCCAGTCGCCGGAGCTGGAGCAGCGCATGCGGCATCTGGACGAGAAGCTGGGCCCTGGCTCTGGCAATGAATTCTACGAGAATCTCTGCATGAAGGCGGTCAACCAATGCATCGGACGAGCCGTTCGCCACATCAGGGACTATGCCTGCGTCTACCTGCTGGATGAGCGCTATGTTGGCACAAGGATACGGGGCAAGCTGCCGGAGTGGATAGCCCGGCACATTGTGGAGGCGGCCGCCGGAAAGGGCGGTTTCGGGGCAGTTCAAGCTCAAACTGCCAGGTTTTTCAAGGGGCGATAGGGAAAGGAATCTCTCTTGGTGAATTCTTTTTTTTTATGTTTATTATTTTTGTATTTAAATATTATTAAGGTGATTTTTTGTTTCATTTCTCTTGGAAAATCCGTTTTTTTTTTGTTTTTTTTGTATTTAAAAAACTATTTTATTTAGGTGGTTTTTTGTGTACAAATTGTTTAGTTTTTTAAGAGTTTTTGTGCATTTATTCACTCTTTTGTAAACTATAGTTTTTAAGATAGCATTTCTAGTATTATACAATTTTTTTTTTGTTTTTTGAGATCAAGAATTTTTTTAAGTTCTGCGAATATTAATTTTCTTTACGGTTTTGTTTTTTGGTCAATACTTATATATATTTTATACATTTTTTAAGAAAGTTAAACTTTTCCTTTTTTGCAGAGAAATTTAAAACGGATTTTTAAAATTTATTTTTTGTTTTTTAATTTAAGCTAAACAAGATAAAATCAACCTCTGTCAGAAATTAAGAATTTATTTTTCGTTTTAATAATGGCATTACCATTTAAAATTATTAATAATTAAAAAATTCCACAATTAAAATATTAAATATAAATACATGTTTAATAGTCCCATCATTTAAATAATTATGTATAATAATAATAAATAACATTACAAAAATGCTCACCTATATTCGGCTTAAAACAGAAAACTTTAAATCAAAAAATTTCCCTTAATAATTAAAAATGTATAAACGCCAGTACATTTATTTAAAAATGCCTTATAAAATGTATTAAATAAAATTTAATTTAATTAAAATTAAACAAAATCCTTCAAAGTTTTCCCCTTTACAATCGATAGGTGTGGTTCGAGTATCAGGTAAGCATTTTTAGGGGGAAATTTCAGCTTTTTGGGATTTTTTAGGGGATGAGCCGAATTTTCATCTGGCAACTCTGCTGGGGCATTAAACAAATTCCTGAACTTCTGCCAAAACAGCTCCTTCGTCCTCCGCGTCCCGTTCCGAGAGCTGGCCGCCGCCGCACACAGCACAGCACTGCGTCCAGCAAGGACGCCAAAGCCTGGAATCTAGCCCGTGGTCGCCCAGTTGCCGTGCAGTTCAAATTGCGGCAGGACACTTGCACAGCTTCCTGGGGAGCTGCGAGCGCGGGGTCAGCAGGAGAGGGCCGGGCAGCGCGCGACCTTCGCAGTAAATAATATATGTACATACCTTAGCGTGCGTACCAGTGCGTGCGTGTGTGTGTGTGTGTGTGTGTAGGCAGGTGGTGTGGGTGTGAGTGTGTAGGTGCACTGAAAAAAAGGTGAAAAAAAGAACTGCAAAGAAAATTGTAAGTGAAAAAAAAGGTTAAAGAGAAGAAAGAAAAGGAAACTGAGGAAAGCCCAGAGGTTGCAAGGACGACATGCTGCCCCCCGCCCACAAGAAAGCCGCTGGTGGGTGGCTCCTCGACATTGAACTCCATTAAAACGCAAGCGCACGAAGAGTCAAGGATTTGGACTCGGATTTTGGATTTCGGATTTGGATTCGTATACGCTTTCGTTTAGAGATTGGCATTGGCATTTTCAGGGTCATGGTCGCATCAGTTGATGCATCCTCCTAGGCCACCAATAGCAGCTACGCCTCCAACTTGCAACTCTATCATCCAAAAGCAGGCACAGCCATCATGTCCAGCGATTCATCCGCGGAGAGCGACAGCGAGCTGTATGACCCCCTGGCCGAGGAGCTGCACAATGTGCAGCTGGTCAAGCATGTCACCCGGGAGAACATCGATGCCCTCAATGCCAAGTTTGCCAATCTGCAGGAGCCGCCGGCCATGTACTTAACCGAATACCAAGAGCTCACCTCCAAGCTGCACGAGCTGGAGGCCAAGGAGCACGAGCTGATGGAGCAACTCAATGCGATCCAGCAGCAGCAGCAACAGCAGCAGTCGTCATCCCATGAGGCGCCGGAAGAAACGGCGGCCGAGCAGCCGCATTATCAAAATCAAACCCAGATCCTGCAGCAGCAGCGACAGTTGGCTCGCATCCATGGCGGCGGCGGCGGCGGCACCGATCTCACTGACTCCGGCTTGGGCGGCTCCAATCCGGCCAGCCAGTGTGGCACCCTCACCCGCCAGCCCAAGATCCTGCTGCGCGCCCATTTGCCCAATCAGCAGCGCACCTCCGTCGAGGTGGTGGCCGGCGTCCGGCTGTGCGATGCCCTGATGAAGGCCTTGAAGCTGCGCCAGCTAACGCCGGATATGTGCGAGGTGAGCACCACGCATAGCGGAAGACATATCATACCGTGGCACACGGATATCGGGACCCTGCATGTAGAGGAGATCTTTGTGCGGCTGCTGGAGAAGTTCCCCATACGAACGCACACGCAGCATCAGTTTATACGGAAGACCTTCTTCTCGCTGGTCTTTTGCGAGGGCTGCCGTCGGCTGCTCTTCACGGGTTTCTATTGCAGCCAGTGCAACTTTCGGTTCCACCAGAGATGCGCGGGCAGGGTGCCCATGCTGTGCCAGCCCTTTCCCATGGACAGCTACTATCAGCTGCTGCTGGCCGAGAATCCGGATAATGGCGTGGGTTTTCCTGGACGCGGAACTGCCGTACGCTTCAACGTGAGTAGCCGCAGCCGCAGCCGGCGGTGCAGCAGCAGCGGCAGCAGCAGCAGCAACTCAAAACCCCCATCCTCATGCTCCGCCTCCAACCATCGACAGGGTCGTCCGCCGCGCATCAGCCAGGACGATCGTTCCAATTCGGCGCCAAATGTTTGCATCAACAATATACGCACGGTGCCCAGCGATGTCCAGCGGAGTCTCATCATGCAGGCCAGACCCCCATTGCCGGTGAGAAAAAGATAGAGAGAGTCTTGGGATTAATCTCTGTCCTGCCTCCCAGCTTCATTTGTGGTTTTTTTTATCCCTCACAGCATCCCTGCACGGATCATTCCAACTCCACACAGGCCTCGCCCACCAGCACCTTGAAGCACAATCGACCCCGGGCCAGGTCCGCCGATGAGAGCAACAAGAATCTGCTCTCCCGGGATGCCAAGAGTTCCGAGGAGAATTGGGTAAGAGAGAGAGAGAGAGAGAGATAGTTAATCTTTAACCATCTGGACTTGGACTTCGGAGAACTAGAGCCTTAATCCTTGAATCCTTGATATAATTCCTTGTGTTTTTTTGCAGAACATCCAAGCGGAGGAGATCCTAATTGGCCCCAGGATTGGCTCTGGTTCCTTTGGAACGGTATATCGCGCCCACTGGCATGGTCCTGTGGCTGTCAAGACCCTGAATGTGAAGACACCTAGCCTGGCCCAGCTGCAGGCCTTTAAGAACGAGGTGGCCATGCTGAAGAAGACGCGACACTGCAACATACTGCTGTTTATGGGCTGCGTATCGAAGCCCTCGCTGGCCATTGTGACGCAGTGGTGCGAGGGCAGCAGCCTCTACAAGCATGTCCATGTGAGCGAGACCAAGTTTAAGCTGAACACGTTGATTGATATTGGTCGCCAGGTGGCCCAGGGCATGGATTACCTGCATGCCAAGAACATAATACACAGGTGAGAGCAGAAAATGTAAATAAATGTATAGGGTAACCTTTAATCCTTAAATTTTTCACCCCCAGAGACCTGAAGTCCAACAACATTTTCCTGCACGAGGATCTGTCGGTGAAGATTGGTGATTTCGGTCTGGCCACCGCCAAGACCCGTTGGTCTGGCGAAAAGCAGGCCAACCAGCCCACTGGCAGCATTCTGTGGATGGCCCCCGAGGTGATACGCATGCAGGAGCTCAACCCCTACTCCTTCCAGTCGGACGTCTATGCCTTTGGCATTGTGATGTACGAACTGCTGGCGGAATGCCTACCCTATGGCCATATAAGCAACAAGGATCAAATTCTGTTCATGGTGGGACGTGGCCTCTTGCGGCCGGACATGAGCCAGGTGCGTTCGGATGCTCCGCAGGCGCTGAAGCGTTTGGCCGAGGACTGCATCAAGTATACGACCAAGGATCGCCCGCTGTTCCGGCCGCTGCTCAACATGCTGGAGAATATGCTGCGCACGCTGCCCAAGATCCATCGCAGCGCCAGCGAGCCGAATCTGACGCAGTCCCAGCTGCAGAACGATGACTTCCTGTACCTGCCCAGCCCCAAAACGCCGGTGAATTTCAACAATTTTCAGTTCTTTGGCAGTGCAGGGAATATCTAAATTTATGAGATGCTGGGCAGCTGTACCTGTACTTATCCTGCGCAGCCAAAGCCTCTACGAAGTGATCTGTAACTAAATATGTATATTTATATGTATTTACCACCCACACACACTTTCCCCAACACCCCCTGTACATAAGCGGCGAAAGAGAGCGAGAGGCGGAGATATGGCTGCTTTCCTTGGAACTGACAAAAGTGCATTTCTGTTGCGACAAATTTAACAACTACACAAAAACTGTAAACTAAAAACTAAAAGCTAAAAACAAAACTAAACTGCAACTGCAACGCCCATGTGTACATACATAACTGCATCATAACTTATATACGTTAGGCAAGACTACTGAGCTAAAACTAAAACTAAAACTAAAGCTAAAACTAAAACTAAACTAGCTGATCGCAATTACATTGTACACATATTATACTTATACTATAAAATTTCAAGTTGTTTGTTTTTTGGGTTTCAAAACAGAAAACTAAAGGATGTCACTGGGATTTTAATGAGCAAAAGATCAAAGAAACGTATAGAAACCCAACCAAACTGAAGCTAAAAACGGAAAAACCCTGCTCACAAAGTAAAAATTATCCCATAGATGCTTTAAAACGGTAAAAAAGTTCAAAATAACTTTTAAAAAAATCATAATTTCCCTTAAATTTAACATTAAGTTAACAAAAACACCTTTAATTTTGTAAACAATTTATAATTTATATAAACAAATTCAAAATTTGTTTTAAACCATAAATTTCCCTTAAAATAATTTTTAAGATCACAAAAACACCTTAAAAAAACCTTTAGTTTTGTATATAATTTATATATTTTATAGATTTTTCATATCTTTACAAGTTTAACAAACAAAAAAAGGCTATAGGCCTCAGTGGGACTCCATCTAAACATATCTGCTGGCTATGGCCAGGACCTTGGTGTAGTCCGCTCCCTTGGCCAGCGTCTTCTCCTTGAGAATCGTCCGCAGGACAGTGGGTATGGGTACATGGATGCGTGTGCCCAGCGGACTGCCATTGTCGTCGATCAGCACCAGGTTGTTGCTGTCAAACTTGGGCTGCTTGGGCCGCTGGTTCTGCTTGAGGCCCACGAGGATGCCCTTTTTCATCTGGCCCTTGATAGCCACCAGGACCTTGTCGCCGATCAGACCCACGCCGCGCTTGTTGTACACATGAATGCAGCGGGGCGGCCGGCCCTCGGCCATGGCCCGCTTGCCCAGATCGCTGTTGTCCACCACACGGAGGCGGGCCAGTTTCCTAATCTCGCAGCACGCCGGCGTCGTGTGGATCAGCTGCTGCTGGTGCTGCTGCCGCCCGACGGCGTTCAGAGTGGCTGGGCCCAAGGTGAAGGTCCTCATTAACCGTAGAGCCATTGCAGAGTGTGATTTTTTCCTCTTTAGGCAGGAATTTAATTCATTAAAAACGAAAACAAGAAATTATACAATTATTATTGCCAGATAGAGGTGCTAATGATACTATCGATGTATCGCGTGCTTAAACAATCGATAGCCGACTCTGTTATAACACTGTTAAGGCCAAAGAGCGGCAGGTTTAAAAGTTACCATGAAATGTTCAAGAATTACCTTAAATGAAAAGAAAAAGCTTATTACTTGATTCACTTGAATAATTATGTTGGTTTCTATTTAAATTATATAGTTATTTGCTTTCATTTGACTTAAACTAATAGAAGCATTCGTTGTTTGGTTTAAGCAAACTGTTAACCTAACAGAATGTTAAGCCCAACAGCTTTTCTTGTCTACTCTGTTATATTAAAAGGTCCCGTTGCTTTCTGATCAACGAGTTGGCAGTTCCATTTTCCTTGGCGCGATCGCAAGCTGGTGAATTTTTCTTTCGGTTCTTATTGCGTGTGTTTTCTCAAGAATTCGTGCACTTGCGATGTCTCGGCCGAAAAAGCAAAGTGACTTCATGATGTTTGCCAACCATTGGCGTTACAATCACCCAAAAATGAGCTTTTCCGAGGCGATTTCTTACTGCAGCGGCATTTGGAATGTAAGTTTCGTTTTCGTTGTTGCGCAGTTTGCTTTAACCGTTGTTTCGTGTTTTTTTTTTTTTCCAAGAATATGACCAAGCAGGATCGCGAAATTTACCAACAAGCTAACCGGCGTTATGCCGGTGCCTGTAAGAAGCCCCAAAATACGCTTCCCGAGGTGGATGAGGCCGCCCAGCGAGTGGAGTACATGAAGCGCACCATCGAGCGCATCGTAATGGCGGCCAAGAAGTCTCAAGGTTAGCAGTAGTTGTCTCTTTCCCACTCGCTCTCTCTCTCTCTCTCTCTTACTCTAGCTTTGCTTTCCTTGCAGATTTGGAGAACTTAAAGTTAATTTTCTGCGCTTTTAACTACTTCACCAAGGATCCCAATGACAATGTCTATGTGCCCGCCGAGTTCGCCGCCTGCGAGTACTCACTCCAGGATGGCATAAAATCCGTTTTTAGCACTCTGATAGACCCGGGCCAACTCAGTTTGGGTTTGAGCAGGGATGCCCAGGAGCATTCAACGGGCACCCACAATCTACCGCTGCCGCCCAAGGCTATGGGCGAGAGCAACCTCCTCAAGCTTTATAGCCAGATGAGTAGATATCTGGCCAAGCAATGCGGCTATGAGCCACCGATCGTTTTTACCACTAAGGAGTTGATACCCATTGTGGAGTCGGGCTTTCGCTTCTTGGCCTGCAGGGGCAAGGAGGATTTCTTGCTTCAAATTGAGGTCTTTGACATTCAGTATTTGTTTTTTATCCTCAAGAAGGAGGTTCTGGACACAGTCGGCCTGCCGAATAATAAGTTCAATATCTATATAACGGATGCCGTTTTTCAGAAGGATTTCTTCGAGTTTACCAACGATATTGCCTGCAAGTTCCACGAGGCGAACGACCGCACCAAGTACTGTACGCAGAGCATGGTGATGCGCTGGGCCTTCACCTTCAGCGATTATATGTGCGGCGATCTGGACATTACTATGGAACCCGGCAAGCATGTTCCAGCCACAGTGAAGCCCAATTACAGGATTCATAATGCGGATACCTGGAGCGTGACGCTAGCTGGTGGGTCTTCGTTGGAGTCCTTTCACTCTTTGGCATCCTTCAGGGACTTGCGAATCAATGAGCCCCAGAAAACTCGTCGTCATCGTTTGGATATCTCTGCGATTAGCAGTGAGTCTGACCTCTTCGAAACCGTGGACCAACACGAGGAGGACATCGAGCGACAAGCTGGACGTCGTGCTTACCCACACGAGGACGAGGACGAATATGAGCCACAAGGCGGACGTCTCCGTAATCCTTCAAGTAACTCACAGCGCCGCTTTCTTGACGAGTTTTCGGAGGACAACTCACCGATTAGCAGTCGACGTTCGAGTGAATCTCGTTCTTATAATTACAAAGACCACTCAGAGATCAAGAAATATCAGCAACCCGGTGGACAGCATCGTAATCCATCAGTTGGCAAACAATGCCGTTCTCTTAAGGAGTTTTCGGAGGATAGCTCACCGAATAGGAGTGAGCGTTCGAGTGCATTTGCTCCCTATGTAGCCAAGGATCAAAAGGACTCCACTTTTGAGATCGAGGAATGTCGCCGCTCTGACAGACCTCGCCGTAATCCTTCAAGTAACTCACAGCGCGGCTTTCTTGAGGAGTTTTCGGAGGAAATCTCGCCGATTAGCAGTCGAAGTTCGAGTTACCGAGTCGCGGGTCAAAAAAGCTCATCTTCACAGGTTGAGGAGTATCGTCGCGAAGGCGAACGACGCTATAAGGACCAAAAGTGTAGTGTTAAATATCCCGAACCAGTTAACTCAAGCCTTTTTTTCTCGGATGACACATTTGAATATGAAAATTAACAATCTGGGGTAAGCGAAGATCCTCTTGCTTTTTCATTCATTTTTAAGAAGAATTTAAATGTAATTTAATTGGCAAAAGTAGAGAACTATTACCTGTTAATCAGAACATTTAACGAACTCATTCATTTGATTTGGAAAACTTGTATTTAAGTTATTTTGACATCAGAAGTCTTAAACGTTATTTATTTTGGTTTATTATAAAAAAAATAATAATAATACAAATAAACCTCTTAACCGAATCATTTAACAGGACATTTAAACGACCCAATCGATTTCTAAATTGAGAATTTTGATTTCAGTTATTTTTTTCTTTTTTTATATAATGCTAGCGACGAAAATGTAACTGCCAACTGTTAACCAGGTCATTTAAACCTTGCCTTTAACAGACACATTCGTAATTTGAAAACAGAAACCGAAAACTGTTTGCTTAATAAACTCTAATTCATTTGTAAGCCATTTTATAAAAATCAAGCTTTGAATATTCAAACTGTATTTCTGTTAACCAGGACATTACACTTAACAGACACATTCGTAATTTAAAAACAGAAACAAAAAACGATTGTCTTAATATACTTTGATTAATTTGAAAGCCATTTTATAAAAATCAAGCAACTGTAATCCTGTCAACCAGGACGTTTAACTTTAAGTTAACAGACACATTCGTAATTTAAAAATATAAATCATTTTGTCTAAATATACTTTTGATTCATTTGAAAACCATTTTATAAAAATCAAGCAATGACATTACAATTGTAGTTCTGTTAAGCAGGACATTTAACATTTAACATTTGACATTCTTAATTTGAAAAGAACAGATGAATTCGTTATTTTAAAATACTTCATAACTTTTGATTCTTGTAAACCAGTTTAAATAAATCACGCTTTGATACTAAAACTGTCGTTTTAATATACTTTCAACCAATGATATTACAACTGTAATCTTATTAACCAGGACATTTAACTTATAATTTAACAGACTCATTCGTAAATAGAAAACAGAAGTCTTTTGTCCTAATAATTGTTGATTAATTTGTAAACCATTCGAGCTTAATACAGCAACTGTAAAACTTATTAACCAGGGCATTTAACCTTACCTTTAACAACCACATTGAATATTCGCATAAATATGACAAGACAATCGCTTAATTTGTGTACTTTTATTATTATTCACTTTAATACAATGCCATATATGTATATACATGAGCGCTAAATGCATTTACTGCTGGCTGCCGGGTATTACATGGTGCTGCGTTTAAAAATAATAATTTATTAGCTTTATTAACTCTTGGTATCGCATTATTTGTTTATGTTTTTTGTTTTTTGACACGACTAAGTAGACCAGTCCCACATGTTGGTTAGAAAATTGGTTACTATAATTCACTAAGACATACGAAATATATATAATAACATACGATATATTATGCATACATTATCGATTATTTTCGCTTTTTATCGTTTTCTCTCCTTTACTTTGTGGATATTTTCCTTTTTGCTTTTCCTCTTCGGGCGGGCATCTATCTTGTGACCTAATGACTAAAACAAAGTTTTTTAAAAAACTACATAGTTCATAACAAAAAAACTAAGATTAGTTAAAAAAAAATAATGGGTAATAAGCTTGGGCGCTTTAGAAGCGCACACAGAAAAAAATAAGGGGGTTTTCCGGGGGGGAAATATATATATAAAAAAACACACACACAGAGACAGGTTCTACTAAATCCTGTAATTTAGTTAAGCTTTTTGCTTTCTAACTATTTACAACTGAAGAAAGGCTGTAATCTTCGCAAGATTTGCAGTACAAAAAAAAATACAATTTGTGCGTCTTCTTGTGCCCAGGGTTTGTTCCTCCTCCTTATCTCCTCCTCTCCTCAGGATCGGTTGAGCTCTTCGCGCTTAAAATTGCGTATCGCCTCGAGCAGCTGAGACCTGGGATCCGGCGCGGATCCGGCAGATGCATTGCGTCCTCCGGACGACAAAACCTTCACGGGCTTTAGCTGCACTTGCGGCGGCGGCGGTGGTGGTGGCGTTGTCGTCGTCGTCGTTGTTGTTGTTACTGGCTGGGAAGTGGGTCGCAGCTTTACCTGCAAAACCACCGGCTTGGGGGGCTGCTCCTCTTGCTCCTGCTGGAGCTTCACCTCCACTTTGGCGGTCTTGAAGACCTGCTGCTGCTGATGTACGCTCTTTGCTGGCGGCGCGGGCTTGGGGGATGTGGGCTTGGGAGCCGGAACAGGAGCTACATTAGAAGCTGGAACACGAGCTACTAAGGGAGTGGGAGTAGAAACTGGTGCAGAAGCTACTGCTGGAGCTGTTCCATTCACAGACACTCGTATGCTCAAAGCCTGTTCCTGTTCCAGCTGCTCTCTGGCCAGCATGCGCTCCTTGAAGCCCGTGCGTCTTAAAGTATTCTGGCCAAAGGGAGCCGGCGTGGCCTCTGCCGCCGGCTTGCTATTCCTCTCCAGACTGGAGACGGGTCTAGGCAGGGAATTGCTGCTGGCTGTGCTACTTGTGACCACCTGGATGTGATGATTACTACCAGCTGGCAGGGTAAACCGATTGCTCTTGGCTGGACGCGGCAGCGTCGACGATTGGTTTTGGTTTGTGGCTTGGATTTGGACTTGTTGCTTGTTGACTTGGGGCTGGACTTGAACTTGAACTTGGGCTTGTGGCTGTGGCTCCTCGGTTAACTTCTCTGTCTGATTCGCCTCTGCATCCTTGAGCGGCTTGACCGTGATGGGCACATGGTATTCCTTGCGCTGTGAAATACCCATTCTCAGTATGGGTGAAGCCACCTCGATGGTGAGCTTGGAGGTGGCTCCTCCTGCTCCCGGTGGTGGTTGGGCCTTGCCTGCTCCTCCGAATATATAGTCACCTTCGTTCTTAATGGCCACCTGGGATTTGGGTCGTTCACTCCATGTGGCAAAATTAATGCTGGGCGGTCCGGAATATCGATATGTAGGTGGCATGGGCTTGGAGCTGGGCGCCAATTCGATGGGCCTGGCTGGCTGTGGACTCTCCACCTGGCTTAAGTTGCCTCTCATGGTGACCGCGGGTGAGGCTGGGGTATTCGGGGGAGTTGTGGAGACTGCCACTGGAGGTGGTACCTGGTTTTGAAGGGGAGGTTGGTCCAGGAGGAGTCTGCTGACAGCTGAAGGGGTTTGTTTTTGGAGTGGAGGGGGTGAGTCCTTTTTTCCTGCAGGGGGAGGTGAATCCTTCTTGGCTACAGGGGGAGGAGAATCCTTCTTGGCTACAGGAGGAGGTGACTCCTTCTTGGCTACAGGAGGAGGTGACTCCTTCTTGGGGACAGGAGGTGACTCCTTCTTGAGGACAGGAGGAGACTCCAGATGTTGTGGAACCAGAGAAACCACCTGCTTCGGGACCACCGGAGACGATGGCACAGGCACTTGCTTCTTCAGGGGAGTAGGTGAGGGCTCCTGGACAGGAGAAGGAGGTATAGAAGCCCTGACATTCTGGCCAAGACTTGGCTGACTTGTCTCCTTGGCAACCAATCTAGATGCTCTAGTTTCCCCATCCACCGTTGACTCCTCTTTGGCCAAGTGAGGCTGCTCCTGCTCCTGAACCCTGCTCTTTGGTTGCTCCACAGTTGGTGACGTACTGCCTCCGCTTTCAGCCAAGCTGTTCTTCCTAGAATTGAGTATAGTCTTGATTACCTCCAGACTCTGCAGCGAGGGTGACTCTCCAATGCTTAGCTCGCTGGAGGAACGACGCTGGCCCAAACCATAACCGTTCTGCTGCTCCAGCTTGTTCAGCGAGACATGAGAGGTGCTGCGCAGGCTAAGAGCTCCTCCGCCAGGCGAAATTACCTCTGCTTCTGCACCAGAACCAGCCTGAAAGGAGTCGGCTCTGGTTATCCTTGTTGTGCTCTTGGCCGTGGCTATACTAAAATTGGCCAAACGATTCGGTTTTGCAGCCTCAATCTCGGCCAGCCGAGGATCAGGCTGTTTCTTGATCAATGTGTCCAGTCCCTGATGATTGATGATGGCCGATAGCTCATCCACAATCTCGTCTAGCGGGGAACCGGGACTCACAGAGCCAGCACTGCGATGGCGTCCTTGCTGATCGGAGAAATCGGGAGGCGGTGATATGGGCACCGAGTAGTTCCACGAGGAGAGCGATGTCTGCTCGCTGGCACTACTTGGTGTGTTGGCGGCCATGTGTCCCTCTTCTTTTCTACACACTTCCTCCTCCTCTTCCTCCTCATCCTCGCCGGCGGCGGCTGTTAGAACAGCCAGCTCGGCCAGACTGGTGGCCTTTGGGGGGATTGGTGTCTCCTCTTTCTCCTTCTTGGAGGAGGTCTGGCACAGCTTGAAGTTGTACACCTTGATGGCCTCGTCGTCCTCGGAACTGGACTCCTGCTGCGACTTCTCCGCCTCTGGTTCGGGTGTAACGGATGAGGGAGAAGGTGCTGGCTCACCAATGCCCGAATCTGCTTGCTTTGAGGCCGCATCATTGTCATCCTCTTCGGTGGCACTGCCCAGAGAGCGGGGCTCTGGGGTGGGCGTACGGTTGAGGAGTACCTTGGATACATTGCCATTGGGAGTGCCAAGAGGGGTGCCATTGAGTGTTCCTTGGGGGGTTCCATTCGGGGTTCCATGTGGACTTTCATTGGTTGTGCCTTTGGATGTTCCCTGAGGGATGCCATTGGGTGTTTCCAGAGGACTTCCATTGGGGGTTCCATTACCATTCCCATTTACTTGTGGCGCTGCACTAGTTGGCAGCGGACTTGTGATCCTGGGCGCCGGTTGCGGCACCATGGCCGTGGGTGTCACCGGCTCTGGAATGGAGGCTAGCGATATGGTGTCCTCGCCAGGTGGCGGTGCCGGCGCCGTCTTCTTTTTGATTTGTATAATCCGTTTCCTGGGCGTTGGCTCTGGTCCACCTGCTGCTGGAACTGGTGGCTGCTTTATATCCAACGTGGCATAATGTCCATCGGAGGCGGAGTCCTCATCGAGCAGCGACTTGGAGCTGTTGCCATTGCAATCCAACTCCGGCTGACCGGAGAGATTGGGCGTGGACATGCACAGCTGTGGACGCTTTACAATCACCGCGTAAGCAGGCTCCGACTTCAAACCCACTGAAGATGGTATATCCGGTACAGACTGCTCTGGAATGCATATCTGATTTGGTGGACGCGGTGCCGTTCGCTTCTTGCGCGGCGGCGGTGCCATAACCTTGGTCGGCGGTGGCACCACCACCGGTGTCCGGGTGTAGTTCATACCAGTGGAATCCATCGAATTGAGCGAGTTACTCGAACTGTACGGACTGGGCGTCTTGGCCGTCACCTTGGAGTGGCGACTGCTGCTAAAGTCCGAGCTGCTGCTCAGGGAATCGCGAGCTATGCCGGTACGCTGGAACTTGTGGTGCATGGCATCCGGATTGAAGTTGTCATACGACTCGGACTTGTGGCACAAACGGATCTCTGAGAGACCCACTGCGCCGATGGTTGACTCGCAGCTATACACCTGACTAGCGTCCACTGGAGGGAGAAAGGAGAGTGGAGAAGTGGATTTAGTTACCATTTATAGAATCTCTGTAGGAATTTCCAAACCCACCTGGACTCCGGAACTCGTACTTGTCCGCATCCAGCTGCTTGTTGTCACAGACCAGCGACAGGAGCTTGCTGAGGGGCACTCGGGCCCCGAGTCTGGCCACAAACAACTGATCCTTGGGTAGCAGGACCGTGATGCGGAAGGTCTGTTCGAAGGGTGCATTGCTGGTGGCAGCCGGCACTGGGGTTATCCTGTTGTACTCCAGCTGACTAGTCTCGTTGATGTCCGTGTCCGTGGACAGGTGATGCAGCTGTGTGGTTGACTTGGACAGTTTGCCCATGGAGGAGCTGCCAGTGGTGGTTTTGTCTGGAGAAAAGGATTCAATTATTTATTTATTATATTATTATTTATATACAAAGAAATATTTATATAGTTCTTCCAAATAAGATAAAAAGACAATATAAATAAATAAGATGCGTAACGGGCTACAAAGTTTTCAGTTAGTAATGAAATTAAAGACGTTTTTTTATTTATGAAAACTAAGGAATTTTTTTTTATTAATATTTTATTTTATTTTTTAATTTTTATTTATAAAAACTCGAAGGAAATTTTTTGTTTTACAACAACTTTTCAAAGGGAAATTTGTAAAAATTTATAAAAACCTTTTAATTAATTAAAAATAATAATTATTCATCGAAATTAAAGTTAAGTTCTCAAAAGATTTTATTATTTTGATTTCTTTACTTGATTGACTTTAGTGATCGTTGGACCTATCGGTTGACTGATCGATTGACTTACCCTTTTTGCGGCCAAACCAGCGGTTAAGTGTGGAGAAGCCGCCCTTCATGCTGCTCATGTTTGTGGGCGTGGCTTCTAGACAGTGTTACCCTTTACCTTTCCCTCTCTCCAATTTCCGTTTCCGTTTCGTTAATCGTTTCCTGTTACGTGTCTCAAAACGTGTGTCGACTTGCTCTCGTTATTCGGTTTTGTTTGTTACTTGGTTTTTCGAGTTTCGTAATATTATAGATGATTCCTAGAGCATGCTAGAAAATGGCGTGCGATTTGTGCGCTGCGAAATCTGCAAGTGGAAAGGCAAGGCAAAGACAGAAAGTGAGTTAAAAGCTCGCCGATTACAAAACAATGCCCCGCAGAGCCACAAGACGACGCTCTCCATCCACAGGTTCCCCCTCTTATCAGCTTAGAGCGATAAGGATGATGGAGGGGGACGGCGGTCTCCTAGGTCTCCCTTATCACCTGCCACCTGTATATCTGCCGCAGATACATATACTCACTACTATATGGCGCCGCATCCATGATACCCTTCCAATTCCCCAGAAAGAACAACAAAAAAACATGAAGTGTAGTATCGTCGCCGTATAATAATTCAGAGGGCAAAATTTGTTAAATCGAAAAAAATAAAGTAAAAATAAAATATATGTTCCGAAGCCTACTTGTGGGTTCAAAAACCTATACCAATAAATAATTTTTATAAAAAAAATATCAAAATAAAATAACACATAACAAAGTGAACTTTTTTTTTATAGTTCAATTTCCGAAGAATGTCTCTATAATTCCTAATTACGTATTTATTAGCAGCTAAATCATATTTGTTTAGCTATATATATATATTTTCATCAAAAATCAACAAAAAAAGAAAATATATATTTATTTTAAATATTATTTTATTTATATATTATAATTTATTCATATATATTCCAAATTTTCCTAGAGTAACTTTGAATACTCAGTGTATTCGGTATTTGCTTTATCAATTAAATGCCTTCGTTCTTATTTTTGTAGCTATTTGCTTTTCGCTTTACGTCTTTTGCGCCTGGCTTAGTGCTTAATTGTCGGCCAGGTTGTTTAATGGCTCACACACATTCATATCATACAAACACCCATTGCCGGCGATAAGCCCAAGAAAATCGAAATCGGAATGAGAGAAACTGAGAAGCGTTTTTTTTTTGGTCGCGTGCGTTTTTTTTCGTATTTGCACACAATGGAAAATGCAAAAAATAAAAAAAAATCGCAAATCGTAAATCGCGAAGGCAAGGCGATTTTCCGGGGGAGTAGGCGGAAGGGGCATGGTAGGTAGGCGCTGTTTACTTATTGTCTAATGACATAGTTAGATTGTGCAGCAGTGTGAGTGTGAGGCCATGCAAATTACGGGCAATTGGCGAGGCAACAACTGGGTTCTACAGCTATACACTGCAACAAAATGAACCATTGTTCTACGGGGAATTTCGAATTTTCGTTAAAAGTAATTTAAAAAGTTATGCAATTTTTTAATTTATTCATGTTTGCATTAAAATATAATAATTTATCTGTAGTTCTTCGATATACATTGATAATCTATCGATATTTGATGTAAAAGTCGATACACAAATCGATATTTAACGTTGTGTTATAAATCAATATTTTTATGATATATATCTAACTAATTTTGCAACAATGCCAAATTAATTATTTACCGTGCTTCAGATATTATTAAAAAATATCGATATTTTTTATTTAAAGGTGATATTTTGAGGATTTTTTTCAATATATGTAGATATTTTAACCATTACAATATTTTCGATATTTTATTTAGTGCAATATTTTGACTTTTTTATGGATATATACCCCTATTTTCAACTCCAACTCATAGTTAATAAATAAATAATAACATAAATATATAGATATTATTTAAAATCAGCCCTCAAACTGATATTCTTCATAGATAATAGTTAAAGAAATTAAGAGTTATTTCACAAATATATAAAATATACCCCACAATTTGTTCTCTGTAGCAATCAATACACAGATACAGTTTAATTTCACATGACTTAACCATGTACAGTAGATTTCAAAGCTGTAAGGTTTGAATGCTAGTAAGTGATTCCCACAGGAAGTAGACTTCCCTTAATTTTTCCAATTAATTTAATAGTTAACCTTTCAAATAATTGACTATAATTGATTTCTAGAACAGAGAGAGAGAGAGAGGGTAGAGGGTTCTCATAAAGAAGATATATCGAATGAGTTCTGAACAGAATATAACTCATTATTGAAATGTTGAAAAATGGAATTTATAAATTTATACTTTCCTAAATATTTTCCACAATTAATTACTACAAAAAAAAAAAAAACCATGTAATACAAGTTTTTCAATTACTAAATTGTGCTCATGGTCGGCACTGTATGTTTACTATTCGTGATTGAGACACGCGCCCCTATATCCATGGGATTGCCTGAGGCAAATCGATTTGTGTTTACTTTTTAATGAGCAGCAGCCCCGAACTAATTAGCCCAACTATTAGCCAGCCTAATTAGATATAAAACTCAACATGGAGTCAAGTTTTATCGATCCCCAATGGATTTGCCAAAAATAATGAAGAGAAGAGAAGAAGAATATAGACATACCTCTGGGTATATCGGCACTCCCACTTTATTGGCAATCGGGTTTTATTTCTAATCAAATTCCCTCTCGTTAATGTCTCAACTATAATTGGTTTATATGGAAAATTATTCAATTGTAGGGATTACCTAGGCATTAGCACAGTGTCTAGTATTTTCCATATTATTTTTAGTTCATTTTCTGTTCATTCGTATATAATTTTTATACCCTTACAGGGTATTAAATTTTCGGTCAGAAGCTTGCAAAGTAGCGAAGAAGTCATTTCCGACCCTATAAATCATATATATTCAGGATCAGCATTAACAGGCGAGTCAATGCCTCGATTCTATGGCTTCCTTCAAGGGTATACAAATTTCGGCTTCCCAATAGTACGTTCCTTGTCTTGTTATTATTTATTTCAATTGAGTAAACCTCGAGAGGAGGCGAAGGTATTGGCCAAGTCGATTTCTCAGCTGTTATTTGCCACTCTTCTCCACCTGTTTACCTGTTATTGTTTTTGGGTTCTTGGTTATCAATTCGGTATTGTTGTTGTTTTGTTAGCTTTGGCCTTTATAGTCAGTCACTAAAGTTCCCCTTGAAATAAACATGAGTAAGTAAAAATTCCTCGGCTATCATGAGGCGGCGATGAGAAATGTTTTCTTGCCATAAATCATCACGTTCCATAAACATGGCTTGCGGTCGGTCGGTTGGTTGGTGTGTTGCCAAAAATAATGAGCTTGGCTAATAGCACATCAACAGCCGCAAAACAACAACAACAATAATACCATCACACATTAAGTGTGTTTGGGGCCTTTTGAACCGGCTAATTGAAATAAAAATTAAATTACTCTCTAGCGTTTGGTCTCTGAACTTTATACTCTGCCTTATCGATATATATATAAAAACGCCTTAGATTGATGTTAACATTACCATAAGCCCACAATTATCCCTTTCTATATAGGGCCTGGTGTTACGGTTATTTGGTAGATAGTATATGTGAAAAATCTGGCGTAATTGAACTGTTTGCTTTGGCACGTTGGTTAAGTAACGCTCTCTATCGATTTCCACTTCCAACACAAGTAGTGTGGCTCTGCCGGCCCAGTTAACAGACAAACACGGCGCTACACGTTAAGTTATATATATACATATATCTAGAAATATACAAACTTGTATAGTTATATATATGGTAAAGCAAAGTACAAATGCTTGTAATTGCCGTGTGCCACAGGGGTCAGAGCGATTCCCATTTACTCAACATTTATCAAATCGATCGATCCCCAAAACAAGGTCTTTAAAACCTGGTGAAATCAGATCACTTATCGCAGCGTGAACTTGATCGATCAGTAGTCACATTGAGGCCTCACGAGTTTAGCCTAGCCCCGCCATATCTTTGGCTTTGAAATTTCGAATCTCATAAGTGGGTCACAAGGGAAGAGCAAGGCATTTCTTACTCTTCTTGTTTGAATATTTTGAATCATTTTTCAAAGTCAATTTATAAATATCTTAAGAAAAGAGCAGACTATATCTTACTCTTCTTGTTTGAATAATTTGATCATTTTTCTGAGCCTGAATATAAATTTTGGGTTCCTCCAGACTTTGAAATTCTTAAAATCTCCCTTTGAAATTTCGAATCTCCTAAGTAGGTCTCAAGGAAAAAGCAGGCCATATCTTACTCATCTTATTTGAATAGGTTGAATCATTTTTCTGAGTAAATTTCAAATCTCTTAAGTGAATATTTTGAATAATTTTTTCTGAGTAAAGTCTAAATGTGAGTTTTAGGGTTTCTTCAGAATTTTATTACCAACATCTTATTTAATTTGCTAATTTAATTTAATGCTTTTGAATATCAATATCCAAGACAAGAGATCCTTATTAGAAATCAAAGACTTTAAATGGCAGCCATTAAAGAACTCCCCACTGTGGTGTCTATATGGGTCTGAATACATCACCCATGATGGGTTAGATAACTCCGACTTTCCATGATTGAATGCTAATTTCATGGCTAATGTCTTCTCTGTCCTCCCCTTTCGTTTTATTTATTTATTCTTCATTTTTTTTTTTAAGGAGAATCCGTTATGTGTACTCAACAAATTGGCAACTTTCTACCGTTACACATCGTGCCTAAATAATGAAATTTTTTGTATATTTATATTTTTTGGAAGTACCAAGTACCCATAGAGGGCGGATCAGAAGTGCAAACAGAAGACGGATCGATGATTAATGGTCTGTGATTTGGGGAATGTCGGAATCTCGGAATGTCCCAGGGTTGGCTTCGTCATGAGACTTAAATATAGAGATGTTGCGTTCCAATCGTTGTATATATTTAAATCTATATATATTATCGTACAATATATGCAACGGGTGACACTGACATTGAAGTTCCCGCGGTTCGCGGCATTGCATTCACGGAGATTCATCGCCTGCGCCTGAGGTTTGCTCCAAAGTTAGGCGATGATATCATTATATAGCCGACGTGAGGGAATTTTTTATTGGTGCTCATCATTGTTTCTTTATAAATATACAAAATAATCACCCAATCCAACTAGACGGCTATGCTAATTCTGTGCGGTAAGACGATAGCCAGAAACAGAAACAAAAAGAAAACACCTGTGGATTGACTTTCTCAAGTCACTGTGCCTGTTTTTAGCATTTGTATTTTGTTTTTTTTTTTTTTTTTTTCGTTTTTCGCGGACAGCTTTATCTGC